TTTGGACCATTCTCCGACAGTATCGCCAAGATATCTAGAAATTCGGTCGGAGCTGACACAATCTCATCAACTCCCTCATAAACCGGCACCTCCTTCTGCAGCAAGAACTATGTCAACAGGTTCCCGTAGAAGAACCTTCGGGAGTCATTCAGAAATATGGTGCAATTCATCTAATCAAGCATCAACTAGCCAATATTGACAGGTTTCCCCGTCATCAGAAAATAGATCAAACAAACTCTCGCTCTCGTGCAATCTGAAGAATGCTTACCCGGCATAATACAAGCAAGAACAAAGTTATGCCAAACCTTAGCTGTTCTATTGAAGTCAGTCCGGCACATGTCTTTTTGGGTGTCATTTTGTTGTGAACGAATCCACTTTGCCATCGAGTTCACCCCACATATTGTCTGACGGATGGCCAGGTAATCTGGACTGCGCACGAACTTTTGAAAAATTTGTGGATCATGGTTTGGAGCCCCCAAAAACTCACAAAGAGATTGAGCTTGCAAGTTGATCCCCACACCTCGCACATCGGCTTCATTTTTCTTGCAATGCCAATTAGCATATAATTCTTTCACCATGCTCAAATTAGTTGGCTCGGGGATTTCTAATAAACGGTCCAGCTTCAAATCCATTATACGGTCCAGAACGGTGGGAAAATGCTGCTCCAAAGCTGTGGTGTTGATGCCCATCTTTGAGATATACCGCACGTATGGTACAAAGGAGTGATACAAACTTCTTGCGTCCTTCCTATATACCTGGAGGGCTAGACGAGGCACACGAGGCTGCCTTGCTGAAGGCTCCACCACTTGCTTTCCTTTTTCCGATTTGCATGAAGCAACCTCACTTTGTTTTCGCTTCTTTGTGGATGAGGCAGTCGTAGAAGGCTTTGTCGTTGCCTTTTCCTTTTGCGAACTTTCACGAGCCATTAGTACCGACACCTGTGAACAATGAATGCAGCGTTAGTGAAAAGTTCAAAGATCCTCTATAGACAAAATGTAGGATTGGGGCGATCCAATACTTAAGATTCAAGCAATGCTTCAGGTACTCAAGATTTCCCCTTAGCAACCAACAACATCCGCATATAGCATATAACGTCAGCATATACAATACAGTGCATCGCACTACACTCGGGCCTTTAAAGTTGAATGATCAGAGAATTCTTTGCCCCGAGTCGCTACCCACCCAATTATGATACACTACAATTCAATGAAAAACGTAAAAGAGAGAGAAATAGTGATATNCCCTAATACCCCACAGTCCCACCGTAGCGCTACCAAACAATGCTCGGTTACTCATACTTCGCCTTCAATCAACAATTTTTGTTCAAGAATTTCATCAAACATTTGGTGCGCAACACTTTCATTTAAGTCCTTCAAACCACTAGACAAGTGCCGTACCTCCCCAAATTCAACGAGGTGGTGGGAGTTTTAGTTGTTCACCCTGTAGTCAATCAACAACGCCAAAGAACTCAGTTGGAATTCAATACACACTTGCCAACATTCTGCTATATGGGAAGTTTGGGGGAAAGAAGAGTGAGAGATGATAAAACAAATAAGAATACAAAATTGAGAAGTAATTAAAACAAAAAGAGAAGAAAAACCAAGAAAAAAAACGAAAATAAAAGAAGAAGAAGAATTACTCACCTTGTGCTTGAGAGAAGAAGAAGAAGCGGGCGAAAGGGATTCGGAAAGAGAGAGAACTGGGGGGAGGGATTAGGGTGAGATGGGTCGGTATTTGTTTTTTTGTAATGCTTTATTATTACTAGGTGAGGGGTGTTACCTTCTTTTTTCGTCTGCGCCTAGCGCTGAAGAAGGTAGTTGTGTGTATTAGTTGCTGCCTTTGTCATTTTACCCAACGTTTGGTGCCAATCTGGGCGCTGAAATGCAATTTTTTTTTAATCACTAAATGACAGCTAGACTAAAACAAGAAAATTGAGTTACCTCCCAACAAGCGCTTGATTTAACGTCCCAGCACGACGAAGTCAATCGAACTCAAAGTTCATTCAACACTTAGGCTCTTTTAAATGAATCACCGATACAACTTTTTCCTCATCCATGCCCAAGTAATGCTTCAACCTTTGCCCATTGACTCTGAACCTGTTCGTTCCATCCTCAGATTCAATTTTTATAGTTCCACTTGAGAACATTTGCACAGCTCTAAATGGTCCTGACCATCTAGACTTCAGCTTACCCGGAAATAATTCCAATCTTGAGTTGTACAACATGATATCTCCGGGTTTGAAAATTATTTCTTGAATATGTTTATCATGCATCATCTTCATCCTTTCTTTGTACAGCTTAGTGCTTTCAAAAGCATGGTAACGGAACTCATCAAGTTCATGCAGCTCTATGACTATACTCGTACCAGCAGCCTCCAAGTCAAGATTTAATTTTCTTAAAGCCCAAAAAGCTCTATGATATAACTCCACCGCCAAGTGACACGCTTTTCCAAATACCAATTTATACGGTGCCATACCAATTGGAGTTTTGAATGCAGTGCGGTAGGCCCATAGTGCATCATCCAATTTCTTCGCCCAATCAGTCCGAGTAGCATTTACAGTTTTAGTCAAAACACTCTTGATTTCTCTGTTCGACACCTCCACTTGCCCACTTGTTTGGGGGTGATACAGAGTGGCAACCTTATGGCGAACGCCATATTTCTCCAACAACTTTGCAAAGGCTCGGTTGTAGAAGTGGGTGCCTCCATCACTGATGATTTCTCTTGGAGTGCCAAATCTGGTGAAGATATTTTTTCTTAGAAAACCAATAACTCCCTTTGCATCATTTGTTGGGAGTGCTATAGCTTCGACCCATTTCGAGACATAGTCCACTGCTATGAGTATATACTTGTTGTATGAGCTGGCAAATGGTCCTATAAAGTCGATTCCCCATACATCAAATACCTTTACTTCTTGAATTGGGTTCATGGGCATCTCATGTCGACGGGAAATATTTCCCGTCCTTTGACATTCATCACAGCTCTTTACCCTAAAGTGTGCATCTTTAAACAACATCGGCCAATAGAAGCCAGACTCCAAAACTTTAGTAGTTGTCCTTACTCCTCCAAAATGACCTCCATAAGGTAAAGCATGACATGCCTGCAAAACAAAAGCTTGGTCTATCTCGGGAATACATATCCGGATCATGTTATCAATACAAATCCTAAATAAATATGGTTCATGCCAGAAATAAATGTGACAATCACGAAAGAACCTTTTTTTCTGAACAGAAGATAAGTCATAGGGAACAATACCGCTTGCCAGGTAGTTTGCAATGTCTGCATACCATGGATCTTCCTCAAGGCTCGTGGCTAATAGTTGTTCATCCGGGAAAGTCTCCATGATTTCTTCTACCTTAACCTTCATTTCATCTCCTTCAAGATTGGACAAGTGATCGGCAACTTGGTTCTCCGTTCCTTTTCGGTCACCGATTTCCAAGTCGAATTCTTGCAACAGTAGGACCCATCTAATCAGGCACGACTTTGACTCTTTCTTATCAATTAGGTACCTGAAAGAAGCATGGTCAGTATAAACAATTACCTTCGAGCCTATCAAGTAGGACCAGAATTTGTCAAATGCAAACACCACGTCTAGCATCTCTTTTCTGTCACTGTGTAATTCAGTTGAGCACCATTCAATGTTCAACTTGCATAGTAGATTGGATGCATGATTTTATCTTTTCTCTGCCCAATTACTGCTCCTACATCATGGTCATTTGCATCACACATCAGCTCAAATGGTTGCTCCCAGTCGGGTGCAACTATGATAGGTATAGACACCAACCTATTCTTCAATCCCTCAAAAGCTACCCTACAGTCATTAGAAAACACCAAAGGGTGATTTTTTTCAAGCAATTTAACAAAGGATTAGCTATCTTGGAAAAATCGTTTATAAAATGCCTGTAGAAACCGGTGTGACCAAGGAAACTTCTTATTGACTTGACAGAATTAGGTGGTGGCAGCTTCTCTATTATATCGACCTTAGCTCGGTCCACCTCAATGCCCTTACTTGACACTAGGTGTCCCAATACTATACCTTCATGTACCATGAAATGGCATTTTTCCCAGTTTAGCACCAGATTAGTCTACATACATCTCTGCAACACTCTTTTTAGATTTCTAAGGCAATCATCAAAAGAATTTCCCACCACTGAGAAATCATCCATGAAAACCTTCATTATATCGTCTACCATATCTGTGAAGATGGTCATCATGCACCTTTGGAATATGGTGGGTGCATTGCATAGGCCAAACGACATTCTCCGAAAAGCGTAAATGCCATATGGATAGGTGAATGACGTTTTCTCTCTATCCTCCGGGGCAACAGATATATGATTGTACCCTAAGTATCCATCCAGGAAGTAAAAATGGGATCTCCCTGCCAATCTATCTAGCATCTGATCAATGAACGGTAAGGGAAAATGATCTTTTCGGGTGGACTTGTTTAATCTTCTGTAGTCCATGCAAATTCGCCATCCCGTAACTGTTCTTGTTGAGATCAACTCATTGTTCTAGTTTTGCACAACAGTCATCCCACCTTTTTTTGGCACACATTGAACTGGGCTAACCCAGTTGCTATCTGAGATGGGAAAAATAATTCCCGCATATAACCACTTGATCACCTCCTTCTTTACAACTTCCTTCATGTTAGCGTTCAGCCTTCTTTGATGTTCTCTGGAAGGTTTGTGCCCATCTTCCAGTAGAATTTTACGCATAATGAAGGTTGGGCTGATACCCTTAATGTCCGTAATAGTCCAACCAATTGCAGTCTTGCACTCTTTCAAAACCTGCAAAAGTTGTTCTACATGTACATCTAACAAACCAGATGAGATAATAACAGGTAAAATCGAGGTAGGTCCCAAGAAAGCATACCTGAGGTGAGATGGTAGCGGTTTTAGCTCCAATTGTGGTGGCGCTTCGATCGATGGCTTGGCTGGAGGGGTCTTTCTTTCTTCCGAGTGTAAAGGCTTGAATTCGAGCTCTCTTTTCCAGTACCCTTGCCCTTAAAGAGCCAACACCCATTCCTCCAAGTCCTCACCATTTACATCTTCTAAGTTTATAAGGTAGGCTGTTAGAGGGTCTTTTGCATTAAGTGCCTCATCATCTTCCTCCATGATTACATCCATCATGTCTAACAAAGAGCAATTTGTGAACTCACTAGGTTTCCGCATAGACTTTTGCACATTAAATGTTATTTCTTTATTATTCAGCCTCATTTTTAGCTCCCATGTTTCACAATTAATTAAAGCTCTTCCTGTGGCCAAGAATGGCCTTCCCAAAATTATGGGAATCTCCTCATCAACCTTGCAGTCCAGAATGACAAAATCTGCTGGAAACACGAATTTTCCAACTTGTACAACATCGTCAAGTAAATCGGATGGCCTTTTTACCGTTCGGTCAGCTAGCTGTAGTAACATGGATGTGGGTCTTGCTTTTTTAATGCCTAACTTCTTATAGATAGACAATGGCATCAGATTTATACTTGCTCCCAAATCACACAATGCCTTGACAAATGCATAGCTACCTATGGTGCATGGAATTATAAAGCTTCGAGGATCGGATAACTTCTCAGCTATAGGTCTTGACACAACAACACTACAAGTCTATGTCAATGTAACAGTTGCCAAGTCTTGGAAGTCGAACTTACAAGACATCAAGTCCTTCATCATTTGTGCATAACCGGGCATCTCCCTCGAGGCATCGATTAGAGGAATGTTTACCTGAATTTGCTTCAGTATTTCTATGAATTTTTTGTACTGTTCATCCTTATGATATTTGGCCAACCTCTGCGGGAAAGGTGCTGGAGGTTGCTTGTTTTCTGTGAAACTTTTTCTAATGCCTTTTCTTGCACTTTATCAGTCTCCTCCGCAACCTCTTTTTCCTTGTTTATTTCCTCCTGGGTTGGTTGCACTCTTACTCTTGTTAGCTTAGTTGACTCATCTACCTCAATTGGCACTGAAATAAGTGTTTCAGTCGATCGGCTCTCACGAGCGATTTCTTGCTCTAAATCAAGATCTCTACCATTTCTCAAACTCACCGCCATAAGCTGTTTCGGGACCTGCTCTTTTGGATTGACATGTGTGCCCGCAGGTAAAGTCCCATGGGGCGGTTATTTAGAGCCATAGATATCTGCTCTAATTGAATCTCAATGCCTTTTATCGCTAATTCATGTGCTTCAACCTTCTCTTGCATTTTTCCATTGGATCCAATCAGTTGTTGCAGCTTTCCGTTAATTTCAGATAGCCCATCATCTTGTGTCACTATCTGTTGTTGAGATTGTTGATAAGTTAGCTGTTGATTTTGCTGGTTGTATCCTTGTTTCCTTTGGTAAGGTACTACTTGACCCTGTGGTCGTATAGCTCTAGAATTGTTGGTGTTATTGTACTGTTGTTGTGCTGGTCTATACAACTGATTTTGCTGCCCCAAATTCTGACCACCTTGCCTCTGGCCTCCATAGTTGCCCACATAAATGTTCTCTTGATAGTTTTGGTTGTCACATTCACCACTCCACGAAGACATGTATGGTTGGTTAATGCATGGTTTACATAATCCCCCATTAGTCGTGTCAACTATGTGTACCTGCTTCTGGCTTGATTCATCAATCTTCTCGGTGAGGATACTTATTTGCGTCATCAGAGTGGCCATATTCTCGGCTATGAAATTGTTCGGGTCCAATGCTACTGAGTGAACTATAGGGGTGATGGTGGAGTCTCTTGTCATCCATCCCGAGTTTTGAGCCATTTTATCTAGCAGGACCTTAGACTCTCTAGATGACTTGATTAAAAATGCTCCACCTACTGAAGCATCAATATTGGCCTTTAAGTTGTCCGCCAATCCCATGTAAAACTTGTGTCCCAACATCTGATCTGGAATTCTATGATGTGGATATTTAACCAACATACCTTTGAATCTCTCCCACGTTTCTTGTAATATTTCAGCTGGTTTCTGCCTTAAGCTCAATATCTCATCAACCTGCTTGGCAGTCTTATTAGGTGGGTAGAACTTATTCAAAAACTGCTTGACTAATTCCTCCCAAGTTGTGATGGAATTTATGGGGAGCGAATTAAGCCAAATTTTGGCTTCTCCTGTCACTGAGAATGGAAACAACAACAGTCTTGTTGCTTCTGGTGTCACATTTGGTTGCCTTTGTGTGACATAAATCGACAGAAAATTTTTCAGATGCTGCTATGGATCTTCAATGTAAGACCCATAGAACAGTCCCTTATTTTGCAGCATATGCAGCATGTTGTTTGTGATTTGAAATAATTTTGCTTGTATCTGAGGGACTGCAATTGCAGTTGCCAAATTCTCAGCGGTGGGTTGTGCCCAATCATACAAAGCTACTTTTGGCACAAGAGGTGCCACACCCTGATTGTTCGGGTCATTCGCATTGTTTCGATTGTTTTGATTATCCAAAGCGTCTCCCATATCCAGTTCAATTTTTTCTCTTGGGTGATGTTGTTGGTTGTCCTTCTTGTTTGCACGATTTAATGCCTTGAAATTTTTTTTAGGATCCGGTAATGCTTCAAATAATTCATCAGTTCTTGAGGAGTTTCTAGAAATACACGTATAACACAAAAGACCACAAACGTTAGAATTTCGATGTAATGAATAAAAATGGAGAAAATTAACTAAACTAAGAATCCTAGCAATTCTTATAGTTGTAATTAGTAACAATGTTGCTTCCCCGGCAACGGCTTTAAAATTTGATCATGCCCAACTATGCCTTATAAAAAGGACTAAGCGGTCATTGCAAATATAATCTGGTTTATAAGTCCAGAGTCGAATCCCAGAGGGAAATAACGTACTAATTATAACTAATAGCTTTGCACAAATTCAAGTAATCAACCTTCAAAAATATTATATAACGGTTTGAGAGTTTACTAACTAACATCCAAGTAATTAAAAATGCAGTAATTTATAATTAGCAAGGCAAATGTTGTGGATAAGATTTGGAAAAGTCTAAAGTTATGATTTTTCCTATTGTCGGAATCTTTCCCGCTACGTTTTCTATGAATTTGCCTAAATATTCTCTACCAATCGCGAGTACTTTGATTGTCCTAGCTCTCTCTCAAGCAACTATCACAATTTACTAGACGTATTATCTCGAACTACGCTAGTTGGCACTAATTTACCACTCACTACGATCGCACCAAGATTTCGTTATCTCTAATCCCGCCTTTAAACACTCCATATCGATCTCCCCACTACGTTAAGAGTGGTGTTGCTCAACAACTACCTAAATGTGTACTCTCTCTCTCTCTCGATCAATATACACACTAAATAGGCACAGTTAATTGAGAGATCTTCAATTAATAACAATGAAAATATAGTTGAACAAGTAGAGAAAAATCAAAGACAAATCTATATTAAACACAGCAGAAAATCATCCTCCAATAGGTTCCATCAAACCTTAGATAAGAGAGTTTAGCTACTCATAAATACAACAACAATCAACATAATATTCAAACACATTAAACTACAAAGTAAAGAGATAAAGGAAGAGAAAACTCGTTTTGATTCTTGCTCCACAATGTTTGGCAGCCTTTTTCTTCTCCAAAATCGTGTCCAACCCTAAGAAATAGGTTTAGAACCCCTTTTATACCTGTTGGGGGCATGTAGGGTGAAACCCGTCCTTAGCCGTTTCGCTTGGCACCTGGCGCCAACCAGGACAATGAAATTTTTCACATTCTGCCTTTGGTGTTTTGGTTGGTGCCTGGTACCAACCTGAGCACCAAACTCATACCCCTCCAAATTCTTCTGTTTTTACTTCACTTTGCATGCAAGCTTGTCAAATCACTTCAAATTGACTCATACACATATAAACACAATTATTGTGCTCGAGTCATAAATATTTACACCAAAGTTAACAAGATTGAGGTATAATGCAAGACAAATTACATGCGAAAACATAGATTTTTAGCCTAACATCAATCCGCATCCCACCGGATATCACGGTACGAATCTCACCCGACGTCGGCAGCAAATCAGTAATCGACTAAAAAGAGGATTTTTACCTTTTTTAAAATTGTATTAGGGGTAAAACTCTCATATAAACACATTGTAACACGCATATCAAGACAATTAAAATTTGTTTCTTTGCTTCTTAGTTATTGAAAAGTTCTTATTTTAACCATAGCTCTTCATATATATTTGGTTTCAAATCGAGGGTCTGGTTGAAGGTGAAACTACTGTTAAGCCTAAATCCGAGCCTGGATTCAATGTCACAACTGGTTTGGTTATTTATCTTATCTTTATTTTGCCTATCTAACATTCTTGATTACTTGTATTGAATTGATCCAATATCCTTAAAACCGCGTATAAATTTGTTGTTATCTATTTTAAGGGTAATCAGTTTTAGAGTAGCTATTTATTATTACAAGATAATGCAAAATGCAGATTGTAGCTTCAACCTTGATTCGTAACCTTTTGTAGCATTCCAAGGCATTGATATCTTCTTTGTAAAGGATTTTATGTTATGAATGCTAGGCCGGATCGTATCATCTTTTAAAAGGGTAATTAAGCTGCGAAAATCAAAGATTCATCTGTTTTGTAAGGATTACTACCAAGTAGTAATTGAAGTCGTGGTTCATAGAGATCTGTTTTCATGAGTAGAAATTTGTAAGTCTTCCTACCTGGCTTTAAATTGAATTACTTCACAAAATGAATCGAACAAATTGTTAAACTCACAGCGTATTTACATGAAATAACGCTAAATCAATAAAATCGGAAAAGATTAAAGACCCAAAGACACATCCCTGGCCTATTCTACTGTTCTACATCTTCTATTGAATCTTAATCTTAATTCTTGATTTCACCTCAGACTTTCTTCACAGTCAGGTGCATATTTATATCCAAATACTAACATCCCAAATTATAGACTCCTTATCCACTATTGATTATATCATGACAAGCTGAGAATACGCCATATGTGGAGATAATGGTGATAATGGCGGCACCTCAAAAATACCCTTTCCATCTTCACCCTCCCAAATCGCCGACCAACTTGATGGCGTTAATGGAGCTGCCGCCGCCGGGACTCTTTCTTCTCTTTTTACTTCCTTCTTGATCACTATTTCCTCATTCTCCGTCTCTCTCATCCTTTTCCGGCCTGAGTTGGCCGGCTGTAGAATCTCATTATCTTGTTGCTTAAAGTTTGCAACTTCGAGAGGGAAATTCACTATTGCTTTACTTCCTCTAAGTTTAAACGCCGCCCTGTCATATGCCTTAGCCGCCTCTATAGCAGTGTCAAAGGTTCCTAGCCACACCCGAGTCCCCTTTCGGTTCGGGTCACGAATTTCTGCTGCGAACTTGCCCCATGGCCGTTGCCTAACACCCCTGTAATGCTTCTTCTCGGTTGGAACTACTTCCACTTTCTGAACAACCTCCTGCTGCTTCATTGGTATCGCAATGTTAAGAGAAGGCTTGCGTTCTTTGAAGCTCGTTTGCTTCGGAGAATTTGAACTAATACGAGCAGCGGACACATTTGGTTTTGTCTCAAACTCGAAGCTATCAAACTCTGTTTTTGAATTGTTAAAGAAGCTTGAGATATCAAGATTGGAACTTTGGGCTGTGTCGGCATACTTGAGAGTTGGTTCAAAGGAAAAAGTCTCGTTATTGAGCTCAGAAGCAATGGAGTTTAAAGATTCAGAAGAGGAGGAGCTTTGAGAATAAAGGATTGGTTGGGGACAATAATGTTCCATGAAAACATTATCATCAAGAAGATGTTGCCTAATTAAATCAAGTGTAGTGCAATTCTCTTGTGGTGATGCCATTAATTTTGATATTTTAGTGAAACAAGATAATTTGTTAAGACGGCGGAAGGGAATTTCAAATTCTTGAAAGAATTCAAAGTTGGAGGGGATATTGAGTTGAGTGGAAAAAAAGTGTGCACGGAGGATTGTTATAAAGAGCGGAAATTTGAGGAGGATTAGGAGGAGGTTTCATAGGAGGCTTCTAAGTTGGAGAAAGGAACCAACGCGTGGCCTAATCCATAAACCTTACTGTTTCACAAAATAAGAGTTTTTTTTTTTTTTAGTGTCTTTCAAAATAAATGATATATTTTTAAATTTAAAAATAATTATTTTAAATTTTTTATTTTATTAAAAAATAAAATACCCTCCCCAGATCCCATTAGTGTGATTTTACTGGGTTGTTGTTGTTGTTGTTGTTGTTGTTTTATTTTATTAAATTTTTTATTTTATTTATTTTATCCTTAATGAGAATCTTTTATAATCATACAAATGTCATGACCCTACAAAACTTTTACCTTTTAAACGTTTAAGATCACAAATTTCAAAATTACTTTTTTTTTCCTTAAATTTCGTGTAGAGTAAAACTAACTTATTTGAAACGCAATATTATTTATGATTATGTTATATAGTTAAGGAAAATGTTGTGTGGCAACAAAGTGATGATGTTTGCTTTTATGTCTTTTTTGTTGGGAGTATTAAATTGGGAATTATGGATGAGTCCTCTTCCACCAAGAGTCCTATTTCCAGGCTACTTCTTTTCTTTCTTCTCCCTCTTTTTTCACTTTCTATTTTTAGTTCTGTTTGATAGTCAGCTGTTTTTATGGATGTAACAAGGGAAAACTTATATACACCAAAATAGTTATACAAATCTAATAAATGTATGGCATAACTTTGATAATAGTGGCTTTATATATATATATTCACCTCAATTTTGTAATTAATTATCCTTAGAATTTAATTTATTTAATTTGGTGCGAACATTAAGTGCATCATGTAAAATAAAATTGTATTTTGTTCGTTCCAACAAAAAACAATCTGCTCAGAGAAAAGAAGCAAAGAAAACATTACGCTGTACCTCTAATAAATGAAAAAAAGAAAAAAATAAATGAATATTTAACGGCCTTTTTCCTGGATAAACTCCTTGTTGAGCTTGTTAGGACTGAATTTTATTCAATGAATAAGAATGTGCATCCGTTTAAGGGCCCGTTTGGCAATAAGAAATTTTTCATTTTTTTCAAAATATTTCTACTTTTTTTTTTTTTTGGAATCAGTATTTGTCCATGAAAATTTTAAATTTCACTTTAAATTGAATTTCAAAATTTTTCGAAAATTTAAAAAACTCCAAAAATGCTATTTTTCAAAATTTTCACTTCAAAATCACTCACAAAAATTTAAAAACAAATCCAAATTATATTAATGTCAAGACACAACTCTAATTTTTAAATATCACTTTCACTTAAAAATAATTTCACTTTTTTTCAAAATTTTACAATTCTTATGTCCAACCACCCACTAAAGCTCTGTCAAGTTTCAGAATCTGGCTGAACAATTATTTCATCTGCTCGTGTCACTTTTTTCTTTTTTTAGTCAAGAAAAATGACACTTTTTATGTTTAAAAAATAATTTTATTTTAAACATCTTATTTTTACTCTTAATAATATGATTTTATTGCCACAAATATATTGCTATGATTTATTAAAGATCATACATTCCAAAAGTGTGTTCTTTTTTTAAAAAGAATTTATGCCTAATCAAATACTTTCACATACATTGAAACAAGAAAATAGACCAACAAGGTTTGTGGTGGGGTGGTAAGTATTCATTCATCCTTAACCAGAGATCTCGGGGTTCGAATCATGGATATGGAGTGGCCTTTGTTAGGGAGCGCTTTACCCCCAATGTGGGACTTTCCGACGCGAATACGGATTTAGTCGGGTCGGTTCAGTTCTGAATGTTATCGATTTGACATATCAATTATCGGTTTATAAATGTGCTAAACCGATAACCGAACCGATAAGATATCAGTTATCGATTAATCGATATGGATCATTATCTGTTCGGTTATCCGTTTACCCGATAAGAAAACTCAATTTAGATTCTAGAGGGAAGAAGTAATAAAGGATAATGTGTATTGTATAAAGAATATGATAAGCTTTCTCTACTGTTGTAACCTCTCAAAGAATATGATAAACCTTACACATTGTTTCTCTATGTATTGAATGACAAATTTGGAAGGGTTACAATAGTAGATCGAGAATTGGGAGAATTGAAAATTTTATATACCTAGATCATATTTTTATAAAGTTTATTGGGTTATCGGTTAAACCGTTAATAAAATTGGGCAAATCGAGACCCGAACTGATAACCCAATAATAAAATAACACTAAATCGTTATCGAACCGTTAACTCAATAACCCAATACCAATAACCCCATAAGCTTTTTTCAGAGTTTAACCGATGCCCTACTTCAACTTCTGCATGAGTAGCCCGTTTCCACGGGCTCCATCTTTTGCCTAGAAATCTGCTGCTAGCTACATTTGCTTCTCTAAACAAATGGCCAAATTTAGCTTCAAACTGATTTTGAGATCACTTGTCTGCATCAGTTTAACGGTTGGTGGTTGAAACATTTTCCCAACTTTTAATTTAGATGGGTAATTTCCGAGAAAGTTTGTTTTAACACATGCATGAATATGAGAATGTGAGTGTGGTTATAATTTTCTATAGTCAAAAGAAGGAAATTAAAAATCTACAACTCACTTTGTAGATGTAGAAAGAGGATGAAAATGATTTCTTAAAAAGAGTTTTGTCTTTCATGTGTTGAACACATAGCAATAGGCCAATCATTACACAATTGATTCTTTAGGGTTTCGTAAATATACTACTAAATCTTAGGAAGACTGGTCATCAAAACCAAATAAGAAGATTAGTCAACATTTTCTCTTACTAACTAGGAGTAGTATATTAAGAACTAATGATGTACTTCTAGCATTCTAAGTCGTACAGAAGCAAATCAAATCAGAAGGTTTTATTTTTTTATAGTAACACGGGACAACCCCGTTATTGATGAATTTTGATTTTGATCCTTTGGTTAAGCACATTTAATCTTTAACTAATTCAAATATGTACTTTTTGTCCCTTTATAGAGGAAATCTTATATTTAGACTATTTGTAGAGCTAATTATCCTATAAAAATATAGAGTAACAACACAAATTTAATATAACACATGGATAATTAAATAGTGTAATTTAAGTGAAACATGAGTCAACTGAAACAAAAAATAAGTTAGTTTCCTCCAAGAAGTTTAATATATTCAAGATCGATTAACTCATATCCATAATCCAATGCATGGTAGACTTTGTCACCCATTTGTAGGAAAAACTGCCAATTAAAGAGAGCACTCAAAGATGGTGAAAGAATATGTTTAAGTTTTAATTAATATGAGAATAAGGAAAATTAAAAAAGAAACGAAGGCGTATTACAAAATACAAATGACCGTGTAATTAAGTTTAACAGCGTCGTTATATAGTCGTAGTTTCAAAGTAAGAAAATGTTCCTTTCGAATACAACATTTTCATTAAGCGTTAAGCGTTAAATCATGTTTAGCCAAAAACCTAAAAAAATAATGTTGAACTTTCAAGGTAACTCAACACTTAAGAATTGTGTTCAGAAAGAGAGTTTTGGTTCACAATATTAAGTGGTAGTTTGGTGTGATGGATAAACAAAAATAATTTTGAGATAAAACTTTAGTACCGTTGTTTGGTTCATGATTCTAGGATAAGTTATTCTAGGATTATAAAAAAAGGCAGCCCGATGCACTAAGCCTTCGCTATGAGCGGAATCCGAGGAAGGGTCGGACCACAAAGGTCTATTGTACGCAGTCTTACCCTGCATTTCTGCTAGGATTATAAATATTAGCGAAATAACATATACCTGTCAGAGAGTGGAATAATAATTCCAAGATAAGTTATCTTAGGATAAAACAGTAAAATTAAAAATCTCAAGATTAATATAACATATAAAACAATCAATAAAAAATAATATCAACATAAATAATCTCAACATAAATAATTTTACCGTATATATAAAATAATTAATAAAAAATAATATCACTATAACTAATCTCAACATAAATAATTTTATTGTAACTCGTCTTCAAACCAAACGATCCCTAACGGTCTTACATGCGCCTTGATAAGTACGTACACAACTAAAGAAGGGTTAAACAATTAGTAGGCCGCTAGAGAACATAAAACATGGCACGTGCGCTGACCAAAAGGGACCTCATCATGACTTTATTGCTTCGCTTGAGACATACTTTTCAACTACTTCGTATTATTTTATTTTTATTTAAAAGAGATATTCGAATAATAATAATAATAATAATAAGATATAGGCAACAGATTTGACTTCAATGCAATACAAGCATCCTTCAACTTGCAAAGGGAAATTGATTTTTTTTTTTTTTTTTTTTTTTTTTTTTTTTTTTTTTTTGTTTTTTCATCACTTGGGAATTATCCTAGCTAGTTGCGGCGTTGTGTCTCCAACCTTTGTCTTTCCTTTTCGCTTTCTAATTTATTCATATACATAGGGTATTCATTTATTTACCTTGTAGGTTTAGGTATGATATCATGATTCTAATATCAATCACAAAAGTATAGGAAAGAGATATCGCTTGATAATGTAATATTTCCTCTTTTTCAATTTATGTTCTCCTTTCTTTTTTAGTTTATTTCAAAAAAAAAATTATTTAAAAGTAATTTAACTTTAAACTTCTTACTTTACTGTTAATAAGATAATTTATAGCTATGCACATAAATATCTATGATTTGATTTAGACCATAAATTTTAAAATTTAATTTTTTTTCTTAAACTTGTGACAAATCAACACCGCCACATAAATTAATGGGAATGTTGCATATTTAACGTCCCTAAGGACAAAATATACGCTGTTCGCTATTACATTTAGTCATGATTTCTATCCCATACTCAATCAACTTGGACTTTTACTTGTTCATCTGTAATAGTTCCTCATTACTTTTTGTGCTGCCGAAAAGTTCTTTTATAGGTAATTATTCGAGGTTATTGTAACACTAAGCCTGATAAAATATTGCAGTCATTTTAGAA